TTCCCTCCCGTATGTTACGCGGGAGACCGCTTTGTACCTGCCGTCCCCTCTCACGGCAGAAAGCTCTGGCAGGAGCAGCTCTTCGGATGGCAAAGCCCATCTTTGGTTGACCGGTAGAGAAGAGAACAGGAAAATAGCCCCAGATGGACAGCATATAGACACCTCCACCCCTACCCCCTTCGTACGGTTTTGGACATCTAATGCTGTCGTTAGGCCCGTCAGGTCAGGATCTCCCGCACGAGTGGCCCTTCTGCTATTGAGCGTCTTCGAGCTCAGCCACAGAGGAGCACCCTGTGGGCAAGGGGTACCCACCCGAGATGCGAGTGGGGGCGGGGAAAGAAAGCCCGTACTTTTCGGCATCCTGACAGAAAAGCTGCTCTACCTCTGTACAGCCACCAACTCGAGACAAAAAGACACTGCCTGAAGGCAGCGGGGTCTACGTCCTCTGCCGCCCATCCCAGGAACTTAAAAGCTTGGGCGGACTCACGGCAAAAACTGTGGCTCCTCCACTGGCCGACGTCCACCTCGGCGTTCTTGCAGGCGCTGGCGTAGCGCGCCACCGAGTCGCACAGCTCCGACCGGTTGCCCCCGCTCTGGCACAAGCGGAAGAGGCACGTCCTGTAGTAGGCCGAAACGTTGACCACACTGTGGCACTCCAGGAAGGAGCTGTTGGTGGGGTCGTTGATGATGCCGCAGTTGGAGCGGCTCCTGTAGGACTTGAGCAACTCCGAGTCGTTGTTGCAAGCCTTGAGGAGGTCCCCACACTCCCCGTTGCAGATCTCGTCGAACGTGGTCCAGCTCTCTAGGAAGAGCTCCAGGTTGTCCGTGCACTTGCCCTTGGGCGGGCAGAACTCATCGCTGGCATTGCCGTTGAAGAAGCCGCACAGGCCCCCGGTGCAGTTGAAGTAGGCGGTGGAGAGGCGGATCTCCAGGAGGCCCGAATCGTAGTAGCCGATAGTCAGGAGCCCCTCCGACTCCATCACGGTGCTGTTGTCGCTACGGTAGATTTCCAGGCGGCCAGAAGGGTGGAAATAGGGCAGCTCCACATCGTAACCGTTCACCTACAAGTAACAAGCCGATTGAGACGCTTCTGGAAGGCTGACTGTTCTTTGCCAGACTGTTCCCATCTGCTGGCCGCGCCACGCTGGGTACGCGAAACGCTTCCCGACCCAAACGCCACCCTCCGAGGCCCGGAGCCTCCTTCGAGTCGGGCCATAGGGCTACTTCCTCGCATTTCGCCCCAATAACAGAGAATATTTTGCCAGGGAAAAATCAAAGTTGCGGGAGACAACGGCAACGTCGGGAAGGTCTCCGGACCTGACTCAGCAAGCAAATGGCAACACCGGTGCTGTGACAACAACTTCGCGGTCACCTAAAGGGCTTCCACGCAGTGGTAGCCCAGACGGGCTTCCTTCAAGTGCCACCGTCGTGCTCGAGGCACTGACACGGGGGAACGGTCTGGGGCCACAGACCCACAAGCCCTTCTCCAAAGGGACGTCGCATCACAGCGCCAACCACCGCCTCCCGGCCTGGCCCTGGAAGGGGCTGCCCTGACGGCAGCACCTTTACCTTGATCTCCGACAGGCCGGTGCCTCCGATCTTCACCTCTTGGCCGACTGCCTGGATCCGCACAACACGTGGCCCGTTGGGAGCGGCTCCGGGCTTCTTCTGGCTGATGTCCACCTCGATGAAGTCCGGTCTCTCCGGGCAGGTTTTGAGCAGCGTATAGGAGTGCTCCAGTGGATAAGGGAAGGCAACGCCATCAAACGTCTGCAGCACCTGGTTCTGCCCCACCAAACACAGGCTCTCCCGCTTGGGGTAGCAGCCCCGGTAGCCGTGCTCAATGGCGCAGACCTCTCCTTCGGGGCAGGTGGTGTTAAAGCACCTCGCCTCCCCGCCGTCCTCGCACTGGCACTCCACCGTGCAGTCCGCCGCCGCCCAGAAAGACTCCCCGATGGCATAATACCGGCCGTCCACATCGCAGCCGCACTTCTGGACGGGGACGCACAGGG